GTGTGTGTGTGTGTGTGTGTGTGTGTGTGTGTGTGTGTGTGTGTGTGTGTGTGTAGCTAGGCAGGTAGAACACATATAACAAGTTTGTTAGCTTGGTTGATACTTTTTCATTTTTTAGATGTATGTGGTATATGGGTCTCTATAAATACTTTTATCTTGTGGCCACAAACGTTTTGGCTGGGCCAGCCTTTCCCTCATCTCACTGGCTAGAGGCCCACCCTAATTTAGAGTTGCCCCAGCATACTAATGATTTAGGTATCTGGACCACAAAAGGAATGCTTTTTTTTTTTCTGCCCTCCATTACCCTTTCTGGAGTCTCATTTCTGCAACTTTTAATTACATCCATTTTTGTCAATGTTTATGGTAGGTTGTTATGCAGATGTAGTCTTTTGATTCTCAAAAGTATTTGTCTTTTTGAAGTATACTATAGATACATAGTATCCCATGCCTACATGTGTAGTTCGGTAATGCTTCCTCTGATCAGGAAGCAGAACATCTGACTCCTCTCCTCAGACACTGTGAAGTGTTCCTCTTCCTTCTAACAGTTCTCACTTCCCCAAAGGTAGTTGCCACCCTAACTTCTAGTTGCATAGGTTAGTTTTGCAATTTTAACACCTTAAAGATGGAGGGCCAGGGATATAGCTCAGGAGTAAAACAGTTGTCTAGCATTTGCGAGGCCCTGGGTCCAACCACTCTATGGAACCTCCATCCCTTCCTCCACCCCACAAAAGGAAACAGCAGTTCTTTTTTGTACCGTGAGATGGCTTAGTGGGAAAAGACATTTATTTGCTGCCAAACCTGACTCCTATGTATATGAAAATTACCCAGTTTGTTGCTTCTTTTTGTATTCTATATTCATGAAATTGTATTAATTTCTTGATATTTGGATTCACAGTTCAAAATACTTTTGAGATTCATCCACGCTGTTATGTGAATCAGACAGCCATCCCATTTTATTATAGAAACATACATATACTTATGCTTTCACACGCTGATAGTCATTTGGGCTTCCAGGTTCTGGCCACTAAAATAATGTTTCTGTGCACCTTGTAATTTGTATCTATGGTGGGCACATGTATGTTTTTATGTTGGATATATGCTCAGAAGAGGATTGCTGGTCACAGTGCCATGCAAATGGTCACCTTTATGTTTTTCACATACTTTCACAAACAGCTTTTGAGAGTCCTAAGAGGCACGCCTCTTTGCCAGTATTATTTTTTTTCCCAATTAAAAGTTTTAAGACATTTTGGAATGTGTAGAAAAGTAACACATTGTGGTTTTTAACTTGAAATTTCTCTGATGACTAATTGGCTGTTTTGGTCACTTGGATGCCAATCTTTTATGAACTGTGTGGAAGACTTTTGCTTGCTTTTTAGTTGGTTTTCCTACCCTTTCCTTAATATTCCGAGACTATTTTGAGAAATACGTTTTATTTAATATCCTTTTGCTGTCCACTGGTAGCATTTTCATTTTCTTCATGGTGTTTTCTGATGTCTTGAAATTCTCATTCTACTACAATCCGTGGATTTTTGTTTCTCTTTCTTTAAATTAAATTTTATTATTTATTTATTCTTCTCTCATATAATACATCCCGACAGCAGTTTCCCCTCCCTCCACTTTTCCCAGTACCCCCACCTTGCCTCTCCCCCAGATCCACTCCTTCCCCCTTCAGAAAAGAGCAGGCCTCCCAGGTACATAAACTAAACACAATAAGACTAGGCACAACCCCCATATCAAGGCTGGATGAGTCAACATAGTAGAAGGTAAAGGTCCCAAGAGCAGGCAAAAGAATCAGAGACAGCCCCCACTCCCACTGTTAGGAGTCCCACAAGAACACCAAGCTACATCTTTAAAAAACAAACAGAAAGTGCTTTATGTGTCCTATACAGGAAACCATCAGTTATTCCAATAAAAAAAATTAAGTGTTCTCTAAATATTTTTGCTTCCTATTTCTCTTTGTGCCTGGAGTCTATCTAGAACTTTTTTTTTTAAACATAGGGATAGAATGGAGGTCAAGGTATGTTATTTTTCATGTGTGTATCCAATTGATTCACTCAGTTTATTGGAAAGTCCACCCATTCCCAGGCAATGTATTGTTGTTACTGTCAATCCGATGACTGGACTCCACTTGCCTATTTTTGTACCAATTCTATAGTATCTTAACTATGAAGGCTTTATAACAGGTCTTGACACTATCATGTGATATTTCCAGTCTTGTTCAAGATTATTGTGGATAACATTACTCTTTTTACTATTTGAATTTTTCAATCAAATTATGAATTTCAGTAAGGAAATCCAGCCAGAACTTTTGATCAGGTCTTTTAAATCTATAACTTAATTTGTGAAAAATAGGCTCCATTTGCTTATGTATTAGAAATTTCTGTTTATTGCACTTTTTAGTCTCTTTTTAGACTTATTTTTTTTTTTTTTTTACTTTTTTGATAATGTGTGTCTGTATGTGGATATGTGCATGTGTGAGTGCAGGTGCCCATGGAGGGGTTTATACTACTTTAAACCATATTGGATAAGTGAAAAAAATTGAGGAAAGTATCCATTTTTTATCCCAAAGCCAAACTTATTACCATGCTATTAATAACATCCCCATATCAATATTTTGTTATATAATTTGAAATAAACAGCAAAGCTGAAATAATTTTATACTAAACACCTGCAATTTTTAATTTTATTATTTATATGTTTTGTTATCCATCTATCCATCATGTGCTCACCAAGCTATCTTTTAAAATATGTATTTCAAAATAAATTGCAAACCTTCTTTTTCTCTAAAAACTTCAGCATATGTATTATTAACCTATTTTTGTGTTGATTTGCAGTTTATTTTTTTGGAGGTAAAATATACATACAATTGTATGTACCAAGTTTAATTGCATAAATGAAATTTGAAACATTCACAAACTTCTGTAATTTGCATTCTATTAAGATCAGAGCATTGTCATGGCCAGAAAAATCCCCTTTGATTCTGTTTTAGAGATCATGGTTTTTCTAGTGGAACTCTCCATACTTTAAAAATATATAATCTTTTAAAAATATCTACTTTTTTCTTTCCTTCCTTCCCTCCCTCCCTCCCTCCCTCCCTCCCTCCTTCCTTCCCTGCCTCCCTCCTTTCCTCCCTCTTCCCCTCCCCCTCTTTTATTTTACATCCCAGGGAAAACTGCGGTTTCCCCTCCCTCCTCTTCTCCCAACTCCCTTCCCCACCCTCCCTCTGTTCCCAACCCCCAGTTCTCTCCTTCTCCTCCATTTCTGTACAGGAAAGGGCAGGTCTCCCATGGATATCAATAACATGG